GGAAAGTAATCCACCACTTTAGACAGCAGTGCTAGTCAGGGCAGTTGATGGCATTCATAAGATCACAGGATGATTCAGGGTGGAAGGAACCTCAAGAGGTCTATASACCAATCTCTTGCTCCAAGCAGCACCAGGTGTGAGATCCAAGTAGGTTGCTTAGGGCTTCATGCCATTGGGGGCCTGGGAATCACCAAGGATGGTGGCTGCAAAACTTCTCTGAGCACCAACCTGCTCCAATCCATGACTGCCCACAAAGTGAAAAAGGTTTTCCTTATTCACAGCCTAAACTTCTCTTTTTCTAGTTTCCATGACTCAAAAAGCYGTCATCCAAGGCAGTCACATCTGTAGTCTCTGCCTGCAGCCCTACTGCTGATTTTGGACTGTACTGCTGGGCTAGTTGTGACAAACTTGCTTTGGGAGGAAAATCTCTGGCATTTTCCCATATTTGTATAAAAATGATCTATGGTTTACCACAAAGCAATGAATAAAACAACCCATCAAAACATGTGATGATGGCAAAAGTCAGTACCATTCTGTGTGTATAAGACAGGTGTTACTGGAAAGTGGAATTAACTCACACTTATGACAGAAGTGACATTTGTATATAGTGCTGTCTACCTCAGACATGTACAGATAATGTCAACCCAACCACTTCCCTTCCCTGATCTTCTCGCAAATGAAGTAAAACATAAAAAAGTTCTATGAATCTTCTGGGTATTTTAACACTCACATTCCATTTTTCCCTTGAAATTGGTTAAGAATGTTTTAATTTATTTAAAAAATTAAATAAATACTGAAAAGCCCCCAAGTTAGGAAAACACCAGAAAATGCTACAGTAATGATAAAATACACCTTGTAGACATCTTGTGTTCATTTCTGAGTCTCCTACAAATCCCTAAATGCACTTTCTGTGGTGTTCAGGATAATCACATAAAATATTTTTGACAATTAGGAAATGTAGGTGTGTAAGACAAACAATACTCAAAATATATTTCAGCAACAGTATGAACAAAAAAAAAATTAGGATGTAATTACACTACTGTACTGGTAAAACCCTAATTTCATTGCCTTAGTGACACTTAAAATCATATTACATGTATTTTTAACATGTTTATCTATGTTTTCCTTGCCTAATAGCTCTTCTGAAGTTGTTCTCAGAACCCAGAAAACTGCTTCTGATCCTTAGTGCTTACACTTTGACACATACCATACCTTGGGTCATTTTGTGGTAGTAGGCCTGGATCCATGCTAGCATAAGAATCTGTTTCCACAGATCAGAGCATGGGACTTATACAGAAACTCTGTTTCTCCCCTTTTCTCAGTATAAGTTTAGATGGGTTAAAGAGTGTCTTTTAATTAAAAACAAACAAACAAACAAACAAACAAAAAATAAAACCAAAACAAAGCAAACAAACAAAACCCCACAACCACGAAGCAGCAATGCACCCAGCATTTTTTCCCTGGTATTCTTGCCTTACAGGTATTTGCATGAATCTCAGCAGGTTTCTTAGGAAATGCCACTTCCTAGAGAAAAAAAATGCAGAGAAACTCCACAGCCTCCTCTTCTCACTCCAGATCTGGCATCCACTATTCCTCAGGCTGTTCTTCCAGCCACGTGGCTGACTTTGACAAAGGGAGGGGAATCAGAAGGGAATTCTCTRCTCACTGCTTCCACACCTGAATTTCCACCTACTTCCTACACTGCAGKGTCCACAAAATTTCTGCCAAAATGTCTTTTTTTTTCATTAGCAAACAAGTGCAGCTCCTGACCTAGGGTGTGTGCTGAGAGCATGCCTGAACCATCACATGGCCCTTCCCTTTTCCTCTTCCAGCTCTCAGTAGTGGCAGAGGTACTGAAGTGGAAAGTCCCACTTCTTCTTCCCCATCGGTATCAAATCTGTATAGTCCTACACATGTTCCTCCCACACCTTTTCACAATCWAAATGCTTTTATCATCAGTTACCTTTGAAAAACACATCCATTTCCACATATCCTTTCCCRGGAATATGCAAGGCAATGTAAGAGTTCAGATACTGAAACATTAGGCAGATGGTGTGGTCCTGTTCCTGTCATACTTGAGTTTGACAACAAACTTTGAATGGTTTAACCTCACCATCACAGTTCAGGCCCAGTCAGCTAAGCAAATCACAGCCAAAAATGTTCAGACATGGGTGTGCTGCTGTTCACTGCCAGAGACACATGGTGCCTRACTTGAGGTCAATGATTTTCAGACRTTTCTTCAACTGTCCCTGAAARCTTCTCCTGTGCATATGTTTTGGCACACACAATAAAAGAATCATATTTGAAAATCTCGGGTCACAGTGATATGGCAGAAATACCGCACTAACAAGATCATCAGATGAAGATCAATGAGAATTTCACTGTTTTACAGAAAATACTTAGGAGMACAAGGGGTCACTTAAAGCTTAGTGACTGTTGAATTTCTGTAAGATGAAAGGGGAATAAACAGAAAAATTATGATGGATGATACTGTAGCAAAGTATACAAGTCTGACATCTTGTTTAGACTTCAGAACTCTTGCAGTAGAGCAATGCTATTGATGGACAGTTATCAACTGCACTTTCATCTGATGTTAGCTGTGCAGTTCTATTCAGAAATAATTCAAATGGCTAGGGAGCTCCTGCTCAGTATTGCCTTTTCATCTGGTGACCTGGGGCAAAGTACACAGCAAACTGACTGGGGCTGTGACAAGCCAAGTCTGTTYAAAGAGAGTTTGCTACACTTCTAAGAGAAAGTTTAGAAAAAAACCTCTCCAAAGAGAGGCAAAAAAGCAAGAAAGTAAGGCAGGAAAAGCAAGMGACAGCTCTTTCTGAGCAGAGAAAGACAAGTCTTTTTCTACACTATAATTTAGCAAGGTGTTTTAAGAAAGTTAGCTCACTCTCACCTGATGCTTCTGAAAGCTCTTCTCAAAACAGAYTGTACTTTACCATAGATTAATTGAATCAATTCACACAACTTTTTGAATCAATTCACAGCCCCTTTTCGCTAATGAGCAGCACACATTAAATTACAATTTGTCTAGTTTTGACCAGAATTTGTTAAGTTTCTGATGTTTTTAGATATTAAGTTTCACTAGCTAGTAGGTATCACACACTATACCTTTTAACATCTGTCATGCCCTRTTTGCTATCTAGTCACAGCTATAATTTTGCTGTTCTTCAGCAGGCATGAAGTTGTAATTAAAAACTACAGGGCTGTTTAAAGGGCTTAGTAAAATTCTACTCACCAGGGATGTCCTCAGGGTCCAGAGATGAAATGCAGTTACGGGTCAGAAATTCAGCATACTAATGGGGATAGGGCTCCAGCTCTCCATGTCCATGCCACTTAAACTCTGAGCCTTGATTTATTCCTTCTATGGCTCCCAACTCATTCCAAAAAGAAAGCACGGCTTCACATATGCATTAGCCAGGTAATTACTCCAATATATCTCCAAATATTGTCACAGTCAAATAAATTATTAGTATTTGAATACATAAACTTAATACAAAATGTCATCAAAGTCACAGAAGCTTATTATGTATTGAAGGCTGTTTGTGTGTATTACATATATTTGAAAACTGTGAAATCTAGGAACATCCTGTTTCSTCAACAGAAAGCATGTGAAGATCAGTCCATTCTGCCAGCATACGGGATCAGGTATGTGACTGCRCTGCACTTAGGAGTACCAGCATAACCTCTCAATTTTTTTTTACTTATAATGCACTCTGAGTATGCCTACCACTYTGCAAACACATGAACGACAAGGCTGCTGCTCCAGGAAACTTGACTCATATACAACACAAAGGCTAATAGTTCAAGTGCTTATGAGAGCAAACAACAAGCCAGGTCTTCAGGGCAAAGCTGGTTAATAGAAGGSTTAAGGAAAGAGCTGGGCTTCAAGRACCTTTGTTATAGGCTCTGAGTTTCCTTCATAAAATAAATAATAAAGTCCCAATTTTTAATGACTTCAGATATTTCAAGGATGTCAGAATTCCTGGGGTTTAGGAAGGCTCTATTCACTTGCACATTGTATGTTCTTGCACTCCAATTTGAAGGATTGTTTGGCAAAAATAGTCAGTCATAAATAACACTTATTAGCCATAACAGCCACTGCTAATAAACCAAAAGAACCTGTGGCAATGTTTTCATGCCCTATTTGTGTTTTCTCTTGTATACTGAGTCCCTTTGCTGTCATCCTCTTTTTTTAATAATAACAACTTTGATGAGTAGAGTAACTCATAAACTCTTTCCACGTAGTTAGTATTTGTTATGCACTTAAAATGAAAAAATGGCTACTTTTGGTGGGAAAAAAAGTCTTCAAAACCTGATATCTCAAAATAAMACTGGAAAGTGTACAAGCCCAGAGCTGTTTTTCAGACAGCCAGTGTTCTAGGACAGATCTCGAGGGTGCCAGGCTGTTTGGTGTAAGATTTCTGACGACTTGAACTAACGGCGCCACTACTGTGTCYCTAATATCCTTCGTTTTCTGGATTTGGTGGAAGACCCGTCAGAGTGGGACAGGATGGAGAATGGAGAAAAACTGAGGGCCTCACTCCAGGGTGAGATGCTGACTGGTAGTTCCTGGTGCTCTGTGTGCGCCTTTCTCTTTCCCTGCGGACAAACTCCTCCGGCCGGCCAGGACGTGTGGTACAGTGGGACGGGGACAGAACTTATCCCGGAGCCGACAGCCCGGATGCCTGAGATGACTGAAATCCTGGAGAGAAACATCCCAGGGCTGTGAAATGCAGTTTCTTGGGGCAGAGTGCCCCGCAGCCCCTGTCCCACACACGCCTCGGGGGTCCCCAGCGCTGCCGCCCCTCAGAGCCCCCGGCCCGCCCCCGCACTGCTGTCTCTGCCCGGCCGGGGAGGCGCCCCGGGGCCCCGCCGGCGGCAGGGAAAGCCAATGCCTGGCCGRGCGCCCGTTTCCCGGGACTACGTTTCCCAGGGATCCGCGGCACGGCCCCGCCCGCTGTCAGCGAGCGCTGCAGGTTGATCGCCGCGGCTGCAGATGAGCGGAGCCCGCGCGGGCGGGGGGGCGGCCGGGGCAGCGCCGCCGGGGCCGGGTCGGCGGCCGGCGCACTATGCGAGGCCGGGAGGATGGCGGTGGAAGGTAAGGGCTTCGCGTCCCCTGCCCGCCGCCCCCGGGGTCCCTCCCCTGTCTCCTCCCCCGGGCACTCACCTGCGCCGCGGCGGGGCCACCCGGCCCGGCCCGGCCCGGCCCGGCGGGAGAGCAGTGACCCGGCGGGGCTACTCCGCCGCCCGCTGCCCCGGCCTCGCCCACGGGGCGCTCGCCGCCCCCCTCACACCTCGGCCCGGCCGCCCGCGGCGCCGCGGCTGCCCCGGGCCAGGTGCCGTGTGGCCGGGCCGCNAAATGCTCGGTCCCTGGAAGCAGCAGGTAACAAGGCATGGTTTTTCACCGTCCCTTTATTTATCTTCACCACGTGGTGCTCAGTTTGCTTTCCAGGCGCCGCGGCTGCCCCGGGCCAGGTGCCGTGTGGCCGGGCCGCATCTGCCACCCCTCCTCCCTGCGGCGGGTAGGCGGCAGGGGCTGCCCGGAGCCTTCGGTCGGCAACTTCCCGGCGAGCCCGGAGGTGCCGCCTCTCCCGGCAAGGGCGGCCGACCTGCGCCGCCTCCCTCCGGAGCGGCCCCGGCGGCCGCGCTCAGCCCCGAGCGCCTCCCCCGCCCGCCGCCGCTCSGTCTCCCGCGAGCAGCGAGACCCCGCTGTCCCTCGCTGCTGCCCAGACCCCGGAGTACCCGGGGCCGCGATGCTCAGAAGCTCCAGCAGACCCCGGCCGTCCCCGGCAGGGATGCAGAGCTGTGCTCGGCCCCTCCTTCCCTGGGAAGGATGGAGAAGCCAAAGGGCCGAGATGCTYAGCTCCTGGGCAGCTGGGGGCTGTGAGGTGTTCGTGAGGTGCTCGGCTCTTGGGGAAGTACCCCGGTAACTCAGGCGATAGTTACAAGACCTGTAAAGGTGGATGCTTTGCTAGGKCTTTCAGTAAATACTGGATTCCCTTTAGCCGTCTAACGTTGGCTGTGTGCTCCCTTTCCATGGGGGCTTTTGGGAAGTTCGAGGAGAGAGGTGTATGGGAGAAGGCAGATCTGCTCTATTGCTGTCTGMTTCCAAAATCCACTTGGTTTTCTAGCGCTTTAGAGTGAGGCAATGACAGTCCTGGGGGTTTGCACCTCATCTTGCTTTGTTTGGTGCCATTGGGAAAATATAGGAATCCTGTGCAAACAAGTAATGTGACCCCTTCTCCTGTGCTTAATTTAGGGTATGTCAGTGTTTTGGGGTGTTCATCTCGAGACTACCATGAGTTTTGTTTCAAAGTTATGCTGGGATCTACTGTTCTATCAGAGGCACTTGTTTCATTGCTGAAAATCATGCTGAAGCAAGTGAACAGTGTAAATGATAGTCCAGCAAAAATTTAGGCTTCCTGGAGGCAGTGGGGAGCTTAACATCCCTGAAAAACATCTTCCTATGCATATTTAAATAGAGGTAAAAAAGACCACTGTCTCAAAAGGTGTCTGTCTACATCCCAAGTTGTTCATCCTAAGCATAAGCCTCTTCATGAGGCAAACATTTCTTATGCACAAGCTGTTTTACTGAATGGCAGTTTTGAAGACTGCAGTGATACAAAGAAGGAAGGTAGTGGTCCTGAATAAAAGCATTACTTCTTTGGTGGCAAAAGCATAGTGACATGAACTGGGCATGCGTGCCCAATAGTGGGTAAGTAAGTAAATGAAATGGACTGCCATGCACCAGATGGTTCATATGCCAGCAGCAACCCCTGTTTCAGTGTACTCACTAATGTCATCCTCCTTTATTTACTTGAAGTCCTTCTCAGTCTGTTTGCTAGATCTTTTCAGGTCTGTAATAATTCCTGTCATATCTGCAGTGCCCTCCATCTGAGAATCTCTAAAAGCTTTGTAAATATTAATGAAGGAAAGCTCTGCTAAAGCTTTGGGAAGCAGTGCCTTTCCCTTCTCCTGAGATGGGATTTTTTTCTTTAACTCCTTCTTCTCATTTCCTTCCTCCAGGATGCATCCTGCTGTGGTGTCTCAGAACAGGCATTCTTTTCTGTCTATTCTGCATTCCTCCCATTTTGTTTTTTGTCYCTCAACTTTCTTGCCTTTGCAAAATTCTGTTGCACTCACACACAGCAATATGATTATTTCAGCACAAATAGCCATATGGCCATGACTACTTTGTGTGGATGTAGTGCACTCACATTTYGGGTCTTTTATTATCTATCATTTTCTGTTGGAGCTGTGTTTCTTTGTGTGGCTGTGCTTAAAAGCTTGCTTCGCTCTTAATGTTCTGCCATATTGGAGCTCTGGGTGTGAGCTGTGTTCTGTTCCTGAACTGCGACTTTTGGAAAGGAACATGTGACGTTACAGCTTCTGTTTGGAAAGCTGAGAGGTTACTWGTTCCTCATAACTCCCATCATCACAGTGCACCGACCCTGCTTTAGTCGAAAGTAAAGTTGCCATCAAATCTTCTGAATAGTTTTGTCGAAAAATGTCCTGGCATCAGGAAGAACAGACAGCTGGGACTTTTGTTTGGTTTTCTGTTTGTTTGCTTTGGAAAAATGCTTTCCTGGTTTGTGGCTTGGGATCTTGAGAGCATAGCCTCCTATACATCAGCTTRGAAATAAGGCTTAAGCTGAGGTTGTCTGGCCTTCCAGTCCCTGCAGTAGTCAGCTGGGAGCTTGGCTAGGATGGGCTTCCTGGGCTTTCTTTTGATAGAGTGAAGCAAGGCTCCTGAATGGTTAGGCCAACTGGCTTCTTGTGCAAACTTGCAAGTGGCTGGCTCTGTAGTGCAACTGACGGGGAGTGGAAAGGTCCCTGGGGCGCAAGGGAGGCATGAATTCTGGAGCATGGGAGTTGCTGGCAGGAGCCAACATCCGCTGCCCCACCAGCTCCACCAGGGCTATTGTTCTATGGAAACTGCCTGTTTGTCAGCTTCAGCCACAAACCCARAGTCTTTCTTTTGTTTTTCCTTTCAGAAATGCTCTGAGTGGCTAAGGTAAAAATATTTTGTAGCTTACACTTTTTGGAGAATCTTTGAAAAATGTGTTCATTTTATCTCACAAATTGCTGAAGTCTTCCTCAAATTTGAATATTTTAGAGCTGTCTTAGTATGGCGTGCTGGGGTTTACCTACATGTTACATTTGTCCATTGGTTTACTTAAGGAAAATATTGAACCTTTTTTAGTGGGTTAGCTGACAGTGGTAGACTTACAAATACGAAGTGGGAATTTGGAGAATACTATACTTCCCATACTTTAGTGTCCCAAAAGGGATTATATGGACTTGGGAGGTCCTTTGGACTGTATAGTGCCGGTGCTTCCAGACTGATGAAAGGATTTGTGTGTGTATGAGAAAAGTGAGTTTGCACTCCTTAATATGAGCCCATCTAGATGGGAGCACTGCCAAGGTAAATCTATTTTTAGACACAACAGTTTTGACAATGTTCCTTTAAGTGGGTTTTTTTCCTTCTAGTAAGAATGAAAGAACTAGGTCAGAGCCAGTAGAAAAAGGCTTTTGATCTCTGCAACAGTGTTCTCAAATTTTTTTTCAGTTTGCTCTTGTGCAGCAGTGGTAAAGGGGAAGAGAGAGAAATGATGATTTCTTTCCCTCTCAGTGGTTATTGCACAGGAAAGTGAGACACTGACAGMACTCACCAGATGATGTCTGCATGCAGGTGATCCCACACAGTTCTGTTGGATCCCCTGCAGATCTGACATGTCAAGTCTTTGAGATTCCTGTGCTAAGTACTAATTATGTCATGGAGTTCTTTCATGGTAAGTGTTTAATGAAGTTTGGTCAAACACCTTTCTTGTTGTGTATAGGCTTTGGAAAGTCCACATACATTTGTTGCAGGTTCCTCCTGGAAGTTTGTGTAAAATTCCAGTCTCCTATGGCTCTTCTTTAGTGGGCTCATGCTGGCGAGACTCTGGATTTTGCTACAGGATAATATTTTTTACTAAGCACTGGAACCTTGCTGACATAAAATTATAATGACTAGCCTTACCCCTTGGTAATCCTTAAGGAAACTGAGATTCAAAAGAGGTTAGGACATTTTGGGGGTGGCATCCAGGTTAACTGCTGCAGGACAGAGTTATTTGCAGCTTGTAACCAACTTCTGTCAGAGTGATCCTGTGAATTTCAGCTATGTGMTGTACCTTGGTTGAACGCCTTCAGTGCCTAGCAACTCCATGGATATTGAATGCTACCATGTGTTTCTTCAGAGACTTGAGATACGGTGAGCTCATAGATGTGCTATGCTAGCTCTGCCAAGAATGTTAAAGCGAGTTCAGGATCRCCCAGAGGACAGCTTTGAAGCAGCTTTCAGTGTAGGTACCTATCAAGCTGTTCCAGGGTGTGCCCAAAAGTACAACTCTTTTGACAGGTATTCAGTTATTCAACTTCGTCTTAGTCCTATACCCACTTCAAGCTCAGACTGGATATGTCTCCRTATCTAAGTTTCCAAGGAATGGAATAGATGGTGCTTCAGCACATTTACTTGCCTATGGAGCAAAGAAGTAACAAACCCTGTGATTCAAAAATAGCACATACTTCCATTAGTGTTTTTGTTTTCTTCAGTGATTTCTACCTCTTCTTAGCTTGAGGGACTCAGACATGTGGCTTGGAAATAGCTGCCAGTTAGAAGCAAGACTGAGAGACAGATCTCAACTCTCCAGTTGAAACAGTCACTTTGGGTCATAGCAGAGGACGTGGGTAAGACCAGTGCTGGAGTTACATTGGACAGTGAGGCATTAGATTTGATCRTCAGCCTTTGGTCTTATGTTCTGTATGTTACTTTCTGACTATGCATCAGGAATTATGAGATTCCAGACTGGAACATATGTCTTCTCCTATCCACATTCATGTGGCAGCCTTCTTGCTGGGCTGTAACATCTACACTTATTTTCTTGCTCAGCAAAAGCACAGCCTGTCTCCTGCCCCCATAGTGTGCATACTGCCTGGTGGTTGTGTGTACTTTTCTTCTTTGAACCACTGCTTAGAGCTTTCCAATGAATGTTGCTACATTTGAAAGGGAGGCTGTGAGCTGAAGTTCAGAAGGTGCATTCCATGGTGGGAATTTGA